AGCTACCTCCACCGTCGACATCAGCACCAACATCGTGTTTGGAGAGGAGAGCCCATTGGCTCGGGTGGCGGGACTTAACAAGAGTAAGAGAAGTTGAAGCGCGATAGTCAGGGTTCAAATCTGGCGGCGCAGAATGTTTTTCTTGTCACTGAAATCTGCGGAAAGTGGTTCCTTGGTAATGAATCATTCTGTTTCTAGTAGGGTATGAAGGTGAATAAAAATACAGTTCCATACTGTACAACATGATAACACGAGGTACCGAACCACACCACTGTTTGATTCACGGAATAGTGCATCAGTAGTCTTAATTAGTGCAACCTGTTCCCTGCTAAATCGCTACTCTAGAATTACAAAGTTCTATCTGCTTAGTACCTAGTTTTCAGAAATTTTACTTTCAAGATTTTGAGTTTCACAACATGTCAAGCTTCTTTGAGTGTAATTCTTTGAATATCTTGAGATGGACTTTGAATAATCTTACGATTTTGATGGAGCAGATAGAACATTTGGTTTCTGACCTCATCGTCTTAGTAACTCAAAATGTCCGGATAGAACTTTGTAATTCTAAGGTAGGGAAATGATGCAATAACAAGGCTAGCTAACATGCAGAAAACGTCAGTCCAACAAAAGCGGTGAAGAATGTGCCATGGCTTGGAGAAAGAAACAGCTTTGTGATGAATGTACTGAATGTGTTGGCTTCTGGTCCAAGCTTTTGTCTTGTCCTCTGTTGTCTTGTGGTGAGAAGTGGCTGCTTGCTTCAGTTGCCTGCCTCTGACTGATGAGCGTACCTTGTCCTCCCTGTCAGAAGAAAGATAAGTAACTCTTTATGTTTTGTACTCATTTTATAAAGATGAGTCGAACTGAGTTACTCATTTTTCTTACGACACCGGATGTTATGCATGTCGGTACGATGGGTGGGGTTGGAAGCTCTGATGTATGACCGTGTGTGTATGTATGTGTGTGTATGTGTGCTAGTGTGTGTGTGTGCCTGCGTGTGTGCGTGCGTGCGTGGGTGTGCTTGTATGAGATTGTGACTGCTTCATAAAGAACATTACAATGTTGAAAGAAGTATTGATGTATCACTCTATCCTACGTGTGTCTGTGTACATTTCTGAGTTCAAGTGTGAGTGTTTATTTACTCGTGTCTATGTATGCCCAAATGTGTATGTGTGTGATGTCTAAGAGTGTTTAGAACTCGATGAAACTCCTTGTCCCTCATCCACTCTAGGTGGGTGGTTGGCGGGTTCTCTGGTGTGGTTTGCTTTTTCTTTCCTATCAAACGTCTTTCGTCCTTATCTCTCCTCCTTCTTCTTTGTGTATGTTACTCTCTTGTAACACCTCTACTCTTCGGCACTTATATGACCTAATTGTTTTGCAAGTGCCATAAAACTTCTACTAAAACTAATCCTCTCTAGGTTTGGACCTTGAGAGCTCGGATGAGTCATCGCCAGACTTTGACGAAGACAGTGTTGGTGATGGAGACGGTAGTGGACGTGGCGTGGCCATGGATGGTGACCAGTTCCACACCTCTTGGGAGGATATGAGCAAGCTGGATCCGAACCTGCTACTCTACAAAGCCAGCGGAGCTCGCAACCTGGGCGTGATGCTGGAGGCCCTGGGGAACCGGGCGGATCCAAACTGGGTCAACCTGGAGGAAGAGGGACGCACGCCCATCATGAAGGCTGTTCAGACAGTGAGTGCAGCCTGCTGAAACCAGAGAGGGATATTCAGACCTGCCACTCATCCTGATTTAATCGGGATATTCCAATTTTTTTTTTTACCCAAATCTCAAGCATCCCGATTTTGATCTCGTGCATCACGATTTTTTTGTTCTGTCTGTTGTACCAGAGTTTTCTAAAAACTTACTCTGCCTTCATATATTTATGGACACCCCTTGAAAATTTTACAGTGCGCTTGGTAGTCACATCCCCCTGAGGTCCTGTTTTTTAGATTTAATAGAGTGGCAGGTCGGGATATTTTTTCCCCTTTTCAGTTGCCCAACTCTATTAAAATGACACCATGGGATTAAAATAATGTTTTGCAGATGCTGTGTTACCTTTAGTCAACGCAAGATTATAAAGTTAGTTTTGAAGGTGGTAGATTGTATACATCACTACTTTTTACAGTTACTGTTTGCTTTCTCCAAGAAGGTGGTTAGAAACAGAAATTTCTTAAGACTCTTCTCATCTACATTTAGGATGTGAGAGATTTTTTTAAATATAAAGATATTTAGACAAACAAATCTCAAATAAAAAGAAATGTGCATTACACAGACATTTTCACTGACTATTAATGGGATATCCAAGATTTAAAAAAAAAGATTTTAAGGCAAACAAAACAAAGAAAAAACAGGTTGTATTGCATAGACATTCTCACAGACATACTTTCACCTGAGAAAGGGGCTCGCAAAAGGACTGCAATCATCCTCATCTCTCCTCCTTCTTTTTTTTGTTTGTTACTCTCTTGTAACACCTTTAATCCTTGGCACCTACATGACCTTAATGTATTGCAAGTTCAGTAAAACGCTTACAAAAACAAAATGAAGTATCTCATGGAAGTCTCTCTTTGTGTGTGTGTTCCCTCCACCCCAGGGCTCGCTGGCAGCCTGTGAGTTCCTGCTCCTGAACAACGCCAAACTGGACCGTCGGGACAAGTCGGGCCGCACGGCTCTCCACCACGCCACCATCCTGGGACACACCGGGTGAGAAGTCTGGGGACTAGCCTAGTCTCCGCAAAAATTGAATGATATCTTTACTTTCAAGTTTAAAATCTGCTGCTCTATTATGTTAGAAAATGGATGAATTAAAAAATTTACCCTTTTCTTGACATTAACTTAAGTTTAAAATCTGATGCTCCACTATGAAAAAAACTGATGAGTTGAGAATTGAACCCTTTGCTTGATAATAATTTCTTGCTTTTATCAACTTGTGCTTGTCAGCCTTTTATAGCCTGCACCCACTTTTACCACTACCTTTTAGAGGCGAAAAGTTTTGTACTGCCGACTACAAACATATTTCCAAGAGGGGAATTAGATATTACCTGTCACTGCCAGGGCGGTCCCCACTACCCACAAAAATTACCATATGGTCCACTAGTGGGTGATATTACCCAGGTTGGCAAGACAGTGCTGGGGTAAACTCTTACAATGAACACAGTAAGTCATTTCAAAAGCAAAGCTCTTTCTTGCGTGACGGTGTAGTGGAAAAGTTATTATTCAAACTAGCTACACTGGATCTTTTTAAAAAAAAAAAATACAAAGGCCTTTTTTTCCCTCAATGGTCAGAGTTATGGTTCAATTTTTTTGTGTTGGTATTTATTTTAGCTGATTTATCAATCATGCTACTCTCTCCCCTCTCGGCAGTCGGTGACAAAAAGATGCATACCCAAATAAGTGTTATGTCAAGGGAGTTTTGAGCTATGAGAAGAATAAGGTGTTACCCCCCAAAAAAATTATGCAAGGCCTTCAGGGGATATTTTAAACAAACAACCGACCTTTGCCTTATATTTCTATTAGACTGCGAAGTTGTTTAAAATTGAGAAGTGGATAATTTCTCAACTGTCCAAATCAATGACTTGGTGTCCTTTTTGCAGTAAAAAGCTGCGTTTAGAGTGTTTGACAATCTGTGTTTATTTGTGTTATTTTTTGGTTGTTTTTTTTGGTCAACACAGGCAAGTGTGTCAGTTCCTGAAGCGTAGAGCAGACGTCAATGCAAAAGACAACCAGGGAAAGGTGAGGAGATGACATATGTAGCTATTATTTTTGTACTATGCGGTCGGTTAGCTACCTTAGAATTTAAGAAAGTTCTATTTGCTCAGTAACTAGTTTTAGAGAAATTTGATGTTAAAAAATTATGATTTTCACATGTTAAGCTTTTCTTAATGCAATTTTTTGAATATCTTGATAACGACTCTGAATAATCTTACAATTTTGATAGAACGACTAGAACATTTGGTTTCCGACCTCATGGTCTTTGTAACTTAATTAATACGATGGCCAAAAATGTGAGATAGAACTTTATAATTCTAAGGAGTTAATGTCAATCTCAGTCTAGTTTCCTTGGAGTTTTAGTTGTGTCAATTCTAGTTTGTTGGACGTACAATTCGTGTCACAACATGGTAGAATTGGACGCTCGACAATTTTTGGGGCACATGGAGTTATTGGAATGATTTTAAAGCTTGTTCGTTTGTCTTACCTTTTATGAAAAAAATTTCCTTCTATCTTGAATAGAAGTCGAAATATATGCAATTGAAGAAAGTCTGGTTGTCTGGTTTCAGGAGTAAAATTTTGCAAGAAATTGCTGCCAAAGTTTGGTGACCTCCTGATCTGTAGTCCTTGGAAATTGTAAATTTCCTTTGTGCTTTTGACCAGAGCTTTTCTCACATTAATGAGGTTGTGAGCTCAAAGCAAAAAAATTATATAAAAAATGCCCAACAGGCAGGCTAGAAAATGTTAGTCTCTTCGAACTCATTATGTTGACTTGCGCCTGATTTCACAATGATGCCACACATATGATTGTACTTTGTAGTCCGTTAGAGTTGATGTTAGCCGCAGTCTAACTGACGTGGGAGTCGTGGTCCTACATCAATCATTAATTCTTGATTTATTGTCTCTCTTGGTCTTACTTTTTTTTCCACCACTACTACGTGACCATTTACTGCCTGATGTACTTCTCCTTACTTAATTAAGCTACTCATAATTAGTTTGGTTATAAAAGTGCTAACTACCCTTCTCCCTCCGAGACCCAACATTGACAACACGCTCTATGGAACATTACAGCAACTGCAGCAAACCTGCCCTTATCACTACTTGGCATTGGATAGAAGGGCGAGAGCCAAGCTGTTGCTGGATCAAAGCAACTGCAGCAAACCTGCCCTTATCACTACTTGGCATTGGATAGAAGGGCGAGAGCCAAGCTGTTGCTGGATCAATAACAACAACAACAACATAAAAGTGCTAAAACAAAGCGAAATTTGTATCCCTTCTGAGAAAGTATAACTGTGGTCAGTGGAAACATTGTATTAGTACTGGTGCACTGTGACCTATTTCTGTCCTCAGACACCTCTGGACATTGCTCTCGAGACGGAGAACGCAAATGCTGACATCGTTACTCTGTAAGTCGCCTTGTAGTTTTTGTTTTTTTGGGGGTGTTGGTTTTTTTTAGGGGAGGGGGGGGGGGGGTGTGCGTTGGTTTTTAAAGATAAGATAAGATAAAAAATGAGATTATATTTTATCATCCCTGAGGGAAATTTTTCTTGGCTGTACAGGACCGTAAAAACACTCACAGGTATACATACAAAAATTAAATTATATATTACTCTCATTAAAATTCAAGTAAAGCTGACAAACAGTACATTCACGTCAGATGTATCCTTCAAGCACATGCAGGAATTTAATTACAAGACCTTTGGAGTTATATATTGATACATACACTAAGAGCAACACACATCTATGCTCATTCTGACAAAAGCCTTATGCTAGATGGTAAAAAAATTCCTTTTATATCTTTCTTTTTTTGTTTTTGGATGTACATACCTGCAGCTAATATAGATTGTGGGTGGTTGGCGGGTGCTCTGGTGTGGTTTGCTTCTTCTTTCCTATCAAACATCTATCTTCCTTATCTCCCCTCCTTCTTTTTTGTGTTTGTTACTCTCTTGTAACACCTCTAGTCTTTGGCACTTATATGACCTTATGGTGTTGCAAGTGCCTTAAAACTCTTACTAATACTAAACTGATATAGATTGTAAAGCTCACAGACCTTGCTGTTGATCCGTGATATGTGCCGTACAAATGCTATTTATCATTATCACTGACAGTTCTTCAACTACTTTCTGGTGGATGGTTGGTTGGTGGGTGGTGTTCTTGTGTGGTCTGCTGGTTTTACTTCTTTTCACTGTTACTTTTTTCCCTCCCAATCTCTCCCCCTTCTCTCTCTGTCTCTCTGTCTCTCTCTGTCTGTCTCTCTCTGTCTCTGTCTCTGTCTCTCTCTCTCTCTCTGTCTGTCTCTCTCTGTCTCTGTCTCTCTCTGTCTCTCTCTCTCTGTCTCTCTCTCTCTGTCTCTCTCTCTCTCTCTGTCTCTCTCTATCTCTCTCTATCTCTCTCTCTCTCCCTCTCTCTCTCTCTCTCTCTCTCTCTCTCTATCTCTCTGTATCTCTCTCTCTCTCTCTCTTTTTCCCACTTACTTAATGATGGTAATTGTGTCAATGTGTTTCCGTTCACTCAAACTGAACTAAAAAACCATATCATGCTATATTGGCTCATATGATATCCTATCCATATCATGCATATCGTATCCTCTCAGCTCGTATCAAATTGTATCTTTTCATCTCATATTATATCCTCTCATGTCGTATTATATTAAATCCTCTCATCTCATATCAGATTGCATAATCTTGTTTCATATCATATCATCTCGCCTTGTCCCTGTTTTATCTGCTCCCTTCCCATCCACAGCTTACGACTGGCCAAACTGACAGAAGAGATGAAAGAGTCGGAGGGTTACATGGGAAATCCAGGTCAGTGTCTCTTAATTGTACTCCTTCTCTTTCCCCTCCTCTTCTGTGGGTATATGTGTGTAGATGTGCATGCACATTGGTGTGTGTGTGTGTGTGTGTGTGTGTGTATGTGTGTGTGTGTGTCTGTGTGTGAAACTCCAAACGAATGTGGGGCAGGGTCTAGATAATTAAGATTTGTCTTTTCTTCTCTTCTCATCTCCTCTCTTCCCTTCTCTTCTCTTCTCTTCTCTATCTTATGTCTTATCTTACCTTATTTCAAAGGGTTGCTTGGCGGGTGCTCTGGTGTAGTCTGCTCATCTGCTCATTCTTTCCTATCAAATATCTATTGTCCTTAACTCCCCTCGTTTTTTGTGTTTGTCGCTCTCTCCTAACGCCTCCTTTTTTTTTTTAGTAAGTGTTTTACCCCACTCGCAATTGTATAAGGTCAGATGAGCGCGCAGGACACATTAAACATTTTCAGTTGGTAGGAAATTTTGAATTTTGTCGTGGAGGCTGCTGATACTTTTCGATTTTAGGCCACCAAGGGATCTTAAACATATGCAACTTGAGCACGGGCCCTCCGAGATTTTTTGCCCTTGTCCGAGAAGGCTAGGTATAGATCTTTCCTACCTGAAGGTTAGGGGTGTGGCTGAAAGACAGCCCTAAGAGGGAGCCAAGGAATAGCAGTAGAAAGGCTGCAGAAAGAGTCAGGAGCCCAGAGGGGGCAAAGGAGGTGAGGGGGTGGGGGCAGAAAGTGGAGACGAAGGCAGGTGACAGAACTTTGTTAGAGAGCAGGAAAGGAGGTGAAAGGAAACTATTTTAGAGAAGAACATTTTTTCGGTTGCTACCCGGATTTGAACCGGGGACCTTTAAAATTAGAGGCAAACACCTTAACCTCTAGGCGACGAGAGCCCCCTGTAATGCCTCCGATCTTCAAAACTTACATGACCTCTTTGTGTCTCAAGTGTCGTGAAACTCTTTCTTAAACAAAAGCTCCTTCTACTCTTCTTTTCAAGTTGTAGTTCTTACTTTTTTTTTCCTTTCTAGCTGCTGTTTCATGAGTACAGGTGGTTGCATACACACATGCACACAGACTTACACTCACACACATATGCAGGCATGCTCACACACTCACACTCACACACACGCATACACACACACACACACACACACACACATACACACCCACACACACATGCACACAGACTTACACACACACACACACATGTGCAGGCATGCTAACACACACACACACACACACACACGCATACACACTTACACACACAAACA